TCCTTTGATGTAGTCTCTCTCTTCACTTGCATACCCACCACGGAGGCCGTGGAGACTGTCAGAAAACGACTACAAGAAGACAGCTCCTTGGAGGACAGGACCAACTTCACACCCGATCAGATCTGCACCCTGTTAGACCTCTGCCTCCCCACTACATACTTCAAATACAACGAAGGCTTCTACTGTCAAAAACATGGCTGTGCCATGGGCTCCTCCGTGTCACCTATTGTAGCGGGGGGAAACTCCCACTAGGTTTAAATCTGGGACTCTCCACCATTTGACCTTAGAACTGAAGAAGCTTCTCGGATGAGAGGTGAAACGTCTTCTAGCAATTTAAAGAAGTCCAGACGTTTTTCTTTGCAAGCTCCTTTGACTACGATGACCTGGATGACTGAGAACCTTCACAGACATTTTGGAGATTTACTTTCCAGCATGGTTGAGAATGCATCAAGACGCTTTATGAACTGTGTTAATTCTACCTCCATGTGCCCTGGTTACTATCCGGGGTTTGTGTCTGCCACCTGCCTGTCCTCCTGGCTGCTCAGATCTCTAAGTGCACCATCTGTCCTCATCCCTGCCTCCATGGATTCGCTTCCCACTAACTCGCTCCCCCTCTTCAGAGCCCCACGGTCCGGCTCTGGTCGTAAGCTAAATTACTATAGCCCTGTTTAGTAATGTCCCTCAATCCAACTGCTCACTAGTAATTTTCTCCCCTTTCCGTTGCAGCCCCCCACAGTCCTGATTATGGCTTCCCTGTGTAATTTGTCTTCCCGGTTTCCTTCAGTTCTGCGATTTTGCTTCCTTGGTTGTTCCGGGTCACCTTTTGTTAAAACAATAAAATCTGCACGCTCACATTAAGCGTATTGAGTCTGCTTTTGGATCCTGCTTGTGTGCATGAACTGCGGTTCATGACAATAGGAGGTTAGGGCTAGGGTACCGTCGTTCTACTGGATTTCATCCATAACCCGGCGCGTAGCATAGGAACGCTGAAAGTCATCTTTCGCGTTCCTATGGAGCACCTTGGGACGTGACAAACCGTCAGTATATTACGCCTCAAGAGTGAGAACGGTCTGCTATTTTCACTGAAACAAGCTAAATTCTCTCCAAATCTTTCTTAGAATGTTATATATTTGCTGCAGATTACCATTTGAGAAAAACTGTCTCTTTGACATAATGATAATCATTATTGTACACCATTGTAGTTTACTACCCTACTAACTTTGAAATGTTGGCTTAACAGACAAGAGTTATCTGTTTAGCCAAAGGTAATCCATCACTCACTAGCAAATGCTGCGAAAAGAAAATACCATGAACCATTACATACCTTCTTTATTTTATTTTCTGTATTTCATGCCACAACTATGAAAGTCAATGCTAACATGGTGTGTTAGTCTATTACACACTGCTCTTGTTGTGCAAGATCTGCAATATGGTATACTATAGTTCATATATCGTATGGTTGATTCTGCTTTTTCTAGCTAGCACAAATCCACTAAACAGTAATAATCCTAAACTCTGAAAGTCCAAGCAAAGAGATGGAAAAAGAAGACATAAAAAGAAAAGAACTGTAAGAGAAATATTCAGGCACTTAGAAAAACTCTCAAATCCTTGGCTACACTTTGCTTCATGACATTGTACATGTATTTCACAGACTGATCCTGATCCCATCTTGTGGAGTAGGATATTGTCTTTTGAAGACAAGACCAACAAATTAAAGGGTTTTCAGGTATTTCACAAAACATCCAGGTATTTCACAAAACATCCACATTGCTATTTACATGTGATCCTAGCACTCAATAGCTACATATTCTCACGACGTATTCCCTTAGTCAATTTTATAACCGCTACTGTACAACATGAATTGAACATTCAGATTCAGAGAAAATACATCACTTGTTTGCAGGACAACTTAAAATTATTGTTTTGTGGAGAGAATATAATTTCTTGTACTTTTCCATATGTATCTTTTTTATCAGTACTGGTTTTCCATCGGGTTTCCATTAATCTTCAATGCTAATGTGTTTCAATTAGAACAAAGTTATAAAACAAAAACAGAATCATCAGAACAGTGTGGCCTGTTACAAAGGAATGCAATGAAGAGATAATTCTGAGACTGAAGGAAAGTAACACTACCAACAATTAGAGTCAGCTGCAACTGACATTTAGTATTATGCTCCCTTTGCACAGTACAGACATACAAAGATTTACTCTGATTGACAACAGCAATAGCAATAAACAAAGATGCCACAAACTGAAGGAACAAATGCACAGTACAATAAAGCAACCTGTAGTTGTAGCATGTTTTTGAGTTGTCATCATGTGATCAACATACTATTACAAATATTCTGGAGGGAAACCTGGAAGTCTTGTCTGATCTCTTCATGGCACCTTTGGCATGATTATAATCTGGAAAATGTAAAAACTTGAAGGCCTGTATCCTCTAGAAAGGCCAAAGCCAGAGTTTATGTTCATGATTAGAGTAATAAAAAACAGAAATAATGATTTATAGAGGGCTTGGGATAGGAGTGAAGAGTGGAGTCAGTTACTACACTAGTCAGATAACCTTCTGCTAACCCAGCTGCTTTCTATACTGAAGCTGAATGCAAGCAAACGTAGATCTTCCATGTCTGTTTTTGTGTAGAGATCTTAGTTTGGTACAAATTCCTTCTGAGTTCCTTACAGGATAAAATGAGGGGATTGTTCCATCAGGATGTACTGGAAGAAATCCTAAGCTGTTAATGTGGCTGACTTCTGACTCTATGACTCAGACTTTGTCTCACGATTGAGTACTTCCATGAATAAAAGAAACTTCTCCAGGGTCCATGACCAAAGTCCCTCATATGTTGGTGTTACTCATCATATCCTACCCCTCAACATTAAGGGTTTTCATTTAAACTGCATTACCAAGCACATTACGTTTCCTGCTGTGGTAGCACTGAAGGCAAGAGTTCATATTCAAAACCAAATACTACACTGGATGTTATTACTTCCAGCCAACCATGCTGGAAGTAATATGTTGATATTTTAAGATCTACTTCTAACCATTGATATGCTAAAATATGAATCAAACGTCTTGAAACATTTGTTTAAAATCAGAAATATGTGTATAAATTCATAATGAACAACTCCAAAACTGAGAGAGATTATTATGAATCCTGTTCTTAACAAGACTTAGAGCCCACTGATTGTGTCCTCCAGATTGTATAAAAAACAAGAAAGCTCTTTGAAAGTTGCAATATGATGTCAGGACACATTTAAATTTCACACATTTCACATTTTCAGACAGCCTCTGTAGGAAGACATTCAAACATACATATGTTTCTGCCAAGCATAGCGTGATGTGGATGTGATGGTCAAGTTTCAACTTTGGGAAGTTTAATTAATGTCTGGATACAACCACACTCTGCAGCTTTCAAAGCCCCTGAAAATGCTTTTACTTCAAACAACCACTTAAAAGGTTTCAAGCTAAGAAAAATGTCAGTCGTGATTTAACAGTGTAAGAACCCAATGACATTTGCTGGGATGTTTGATCACTCAAATCTAATCAGACCTTGATGAAGCAGATTATTCCACTTTAAATATTCAAAATATTTAAATGAAACACTGACATCATTATAGATTGATTATTTACATATTTGAAGTTTTCAGCGGTTTTACTCTTTAATCAATAAATTTGCAATTTGTGAAAACACGCACACACACACACACACACGGACATACCACAGATAGCTCCATCCTGTACAGGAGCTTAGTTTGTGCATTTTAAGCTGAAGTGACTTAGTTTAGTTTAGTGATTTAAAATGTTTGATAAAAGAAGTGAAGTTTTTAATGTTGCAATACACAGAAACACCATGGAATATCTAATTGCTGCAGTGATAGTATAGACTGACACGAACACATTCGATCCAACGCAAACACATTTGGAAAAAAAAGTAAATTCCAGGCTTTGGACATATTTGCAGAAATGGATCATATTCATATTCCAAATGATCTTACTTTGGACTTTGACGTTTCTATGATAGCTTACCAAACAAACCAATGGACCTTCCCATTATTATCTGCAACCAGATAATGCCTAAATCAACAAGCACACTGCAAATGCAAAACATCAGATTTAGTGGTATTAAGCATGGTGTCATGTTGGACAAGTCAGTGTTTGGTGGGTTTTATTATTGTAGGGTCTTTACCTTACAATATAAAGCGCATTGCGGCAACTGTTATTGTGGTTTGGTGCAATATAAGGAAACTGAACTGAACTGGTTGCCAGGAGAACGGTGCTTGTCTGACTGCATTGTGCCAAGTGTAAAGTTTAGTGGAAGGGGGACTATGGTGTGCTATTGTTTTTCAGGAGCTGGGCTCTGCACTTTTTGAAAAATCTTTCAAAAGTTCCCATAAACACACTCCTAAACCTCGTGGAAAGCCTTCCCAGAAGAGCTGAAGCTGTTATAGCTGCAACATTTGGGCCGACATCACATTAAACTCTATGGATTAAAAATGGAATGTCACTCAAGTTCATGTGCTTGTGAAAGCGAACCAGTAATTTTAGCAATATGGTGTATTTTAATAGCACTTTCTGGCTTTTAAACGCCTTGTTTTTATTAGCTATTTGTTTTTAGCTTTTGTTTTTAGCTATGTTGTTATGGTACCACATATGACTTTACAGGCTTTTAATGTAAAGCCTCAATGCCTGACCTGTGCAGTTTATCATGGCAGCACGTCGCTAAAACCATAATAAAATAGCTTGTTATAACAAGATACTTTTATGTCATAAAAACGTATTATTTGTGCAATTACTTTTGCTACACAAAGGGGGTACTTTTAAAAATGGTTAGTAAGCTTTTCATAATAAACTTGTAAATAAAATTAAAAAGCCACATTATTGGCTACATTTAATGCTATATCCCAATTATAACCCTACATTTGAAAAGACCTTGTTGTATTGTAGCTACAAAAACCTAAAATTTAAGATTGTCAGCAACCTAGACAGATAGATCAATCAACAGATAGACGGCAAATGAAACAGACAAATGGGAAAAACAGTGTGTCATGTTTTACAAATAATTTTGCTTTTTTCAGATGTTCCACTGCCTCTACAAAAGTCATTACCATTTAAATATTTAAACCTGAGATTCTAATTTTTCAAGACTTTCTTTGTACTGTAAAAACCAAAATGTTGGTGCGGCCTTCCTCCTGTCATCGTAGTCATGAGCAAACCCTATCAAAGACAGACAGTCAAAATACATTTTGATGCTCATATTACATAAAAGTTTGGTATAGTAAATGCTAAAAATGTAAAACATTTTGGTGTTCACCAGGTTTCTGCTGAACACAGTCACGGGGCCACTGCTGTCAGACAACAGTGCTTATGTCATCAGTCTCGTCTGCTTTTTTCGGCTTACTGGGGAGAGACTTGAGGTACTCCAGATGGCGTCGCGCGTCCTCCTGGTTCTGACGTACATAATACACCACATATGAAATGACCATAGCAAACCAACCGAACATGGTTACGAGCATAGCATAATCTGTGGTCCTTTTTGCCAAGTTACAGAGATCTATGTCAACCGCCAAGAACGGCTGTCCCTCCTGGTCGTGGAGCTCCGAGCTTCTGCAGAGAACCCGGGCAGCAGCCTCATGGTTATGGGCCATTCCTCCAATAGCCTGCTGAAGGGCGCAGTCACAATGCCAGGGGTTATCGTTCACAATAATCCGGGCCTTCAGTCGAGCAAAGGCATCCTTGTGTACGCTAGTGATGCGATTGTGGGAAAGGTCCAGCACCTGTAAAGTTGCCTCTATGCCAGTGAATGCACCTTCCCCTAAAGTCTCCACTGCATTGTAAGAAAGGTTTAGCTCCCTCAAAAACCTAAGTCCATGGAAGGCGAGATCAGGAACGCTGCCGATCTGGTTGTGGTCCAGCCTCAGCAAGACAGTGTCAACTGGTAGACTGGGAGGAATCTCTTTGAGGCGGGACTGACTGCAGGTAACATTGAAGCCATGGAGGTGGGAATCGCGTTGGCATATGCAGCCCTTTGGACACATGCTGGCCGAGGGAAAGCACAAGGCCATTAGGACAAGGCTCTGAAGGAGCAGGCACATGGGGATGGAGCGCGACAGCCACAAGTCCAGCAGAGTCATGCTGACCGACTGTCAGCAGCATCCCGCCTCGGGCCACAGCACCACCACTGGTCGCTTACACACATTGCATAGTAGCGACTGGCTTTCGCAATTTACCCACTGAAGATATGGAAGCGTGAACAGATGTTATCATACTGCGTTGTGGCCTGAAATGAGATAAGACAGAGTCAGTCAAACATATCAGCTAAAAATATAGTATAGTCAAAGGTTCATCATTTAAATGATCTTAAATGTGGCAGGTAAAATTTCATGAAAGTAGAATTCATGATAGATGATCAAATTTAATCAATAATCAAAATTATACAATGAATCCAAATAAGTTTTCTACCAGTGAAAGATATTCATTCATTGGATTCATTGGATATTCATTCTGCTAAAGAGAATGAATATCCAGAGCCTGACTTTACCAACAGCACCATCAGTATAAAAGTGTTTCTGAAAGACTAAGAGTAAAACCTTTTATACTGGATTAGTGCATAATCATAAAATGTATGATTGATCTGTTTAGTAGTAATATGATGAAATAATAGTGCAAGCATTATCTTACTCTTGTCAATAGAATCAAAAATTAACACAAGTAGAGATAAAAAGATGAATGCTGAATAATTCTGAGGCTTATCATACCATCTGTTAAGTATAACAAAATGCTGGATACCCAAACAGGATACGCAAAAGTGGGTGTGCATATGGGCAATGTTTTACTTTAGTGATGCTCCACACAATTTCAGTCTCAGAAGATGAGACAATGGAAGCCACAGGGCATGAAGGTGGATGTCAGACAAGATCAGACTATCGGTGTGCACGAGTTGGATGTCAGGATGGAGAGTGTCTCCAGGGCGGAGAGGCTGGTAACTGGAGGTGACTTCAGTGGACATGTAGGTCGAGTGAACAGAGGTGACAAGTATATATGTATTAAGGAGAGGCATGCAGAAGGACAGATGGTGGATTTTGCCAAAAGGACAGAAACGGCCATGGTGACCATGTAGCCTACTTCAAGAAGAAGCAACATAGAGTGAGGTATAAGAGTAGAAGAAGGTAGACCATATCTAATGCAGAAGGTGCAATCTGAAAAGGACAGGAGATTATAAAATGTAGAAAGGATTGTAGATTGTAGAATGACTCTGGAAATCAAAATGTGGAAGCAAGTGAAGGCAGAGCAACGATGAAATGGTGAAAGCTGGAGTTGAGACAGGTTCTGTGTGGTAGAGACGAATTACCAGGTGACTGTGAAAATACAGCTGCAGTAGTGTGGGAGACTGCCAAGAAGGTGTTTGGTGTATCCACTGGAAAATATTCAAAGAGTTTAGTAATGAACACATTTGATAGCCAGGGAGACGAAGAAAACACCAGCAAACTTTATGGGAAACTATGCATAACACAAAGAGAGAGCTGGCAAAACAAAAGGCTCAAAGCGAGTTATATCTGAGGCTGGACAATAAAGAAGAAGAAAAGCATTTGTATCAATTAGCAGAGAGAAAGACGGCAAGACTGAGCTGTGAAAAGATGTGCAACAGGTTAGTGTGAGTAAGGAGATTGGTGAAATGTGTTAACAAATGAAGACTGTCTTCCTTCTCTCCCCCCAACCAATCACAGCAGATGGCCCCACCCCTCCCTGAGCCTGGTTCTGCTGGAGGTTTCTTCCTGTTAAAAGGGAGTTTTTCCTTCCCACTGTCACCAAAGTGCTTGCTCATAGGGGGTCATATGATTGTTGGGTTTTTCTCTGTATGTAGTATTGTAGGGTTGACCTTACAATATAAAGCGCCTTGAGGCGGCTGTTGTTGTGATTTGGGGCTGTATAAATAAAACTGAACTGAATTGAACTGAATTGAAAGACTGATGCAGTACTTTGAGGAGCTGCTGCATAAAGAATATTAGAGAGAGGAATGGTAGTGAATCAGGAAACACATCACTAAAAGCAGGAAATAAAGAAAGCTACTAAGATGATGAAGATAGAAAAGGTTTGGTCCGGATCACATTCACTACATTGCCAAAAGTACTTACTCACTCATCAGGTGTTCCAATCAATTCCATTCAAATCAGTTCAATTCAATTTTATTTATACAGCACCAAATCACAACAACAGTTACCTAAAGGCGATTATTTTAAAGTAAAACCCCTACAATAATACAAAGAAAACAAAGAAAACCCAACAATCATATGACCCCCTATGAGCAGCACTTTGGTGACAGTGGGAAGGAAAAACTCCCTTTTAACAGGAAGAAACCTCCAGCAGAACCAGGCTCAGAGAGGGGCGGGGCCATCTGCTGTGATTGGGGTGAGTGGAGCAAAACAGAACAAGGACATGCTGTAGAAGAGAGCCAGACATTAATAACAACTAATAATTACAGGCAGAGTGGTCTACAAACACTGTAAGTGAAAAAGGTGAGTGAAGAAGAAACACCCAGTGCATCATGGGAATCCCTGGCAGCCTACGTCTATTGCAGCATAACTAAGGGAGGATTCAGGGTCACCTGGTCCAGCCCTAACTATATGCTTTAGCAAAAAGGAAAGTTTGAAGCCTAATCTTAAAAGTAGAGATAGTGTCTGTCTCCTGAATCCAAACTGGAAGCTGATTCCACAGAAGAGGGGCCTGAAAACTGAAGGCTCTGCCTCCCATTCTACTTTTAAATACTCTAGGAACAACAAGTAGGCCTGCAGAGCGAGAGCGAAGTGCTCTAATGGGTGATATGATATATGGTATCATAATGTTTAGCCTTTCTATAAAATACTGATATTTGCTTGCAGCACACAGAATAGAGATTTTGCTCATCGAACAGGCAAGACAGAAGACAGAAAGTGATCTAAGTGATCCATTGTGTCATAATTGATTACTTATGTTTTGGAAATCAAAGCATGAAACAATTACTTACCGCACTGCTAATGTTCTGTTATAAAATGCAAAATCTCAATTTATACATTAATTAAGTGTTGTTTCCTGCAAAATCCAGCAATTACTGCAATACAAATAGGCAGGCAGAAAGCACTCAACAACCATATCTATGTAAACGACACATGGACTGATTCTTATTTAGAGCTTTTCTGCTCTCCCGAAGCCCTTAAAGCGCTTTATACAACATGCCTCATTCACACAAACACTTTCGTCTTTCTATCTACCGATTATGCATATTCATAGAGCAACTTGGGCTTAGCATCCTGTCCAAGGATAGTTGACATGCAGGGATTTAACCATATATTTCTGCCTGAAATATGTTCTGCAAGTCAGTATTTGGACCTGAGCTACAGACATGTGAATGTGTATTTCTGCTGGAAATATGTGGTGCATTGTTGCTTTACGAGACCCGGAGCTTTGGCACTATTAGTAATCCTCACATTTACTCTTTCCAAATAAATTAACAGTCACAATGATCACAGTCTTGCAGAATTTATGCTCGAACAGAGCGAGCGTGTTCAACGTCTGCACTACTGCAGAGCCAGTCCGTCTGCCTGCAGTGAGCTCTGCTGTCAGATGAAGTATGTGCTAAGACTGGTGTGTGGGCCTCTGTCGCTCGTGTTGTTGTTGGTCTGTGAGCTGCGAAGAAGAGCAAAGACAGCGAGTGTTAAACACAGTGAAAAGTGTCACTGCAGCCACTGTCTGTGCTTTTCATGCTTTATTTTTTGATCACTGAAGTTGTTTTGCAGTTCTCTGGTGGTCTCCCTGCTTTATTCTGGCCCACTTATCACCAAAACAGGTAGGAGATTATTATTAGTCATTAGCATTCAACCCAGTCTTAATGAGGACTATACAAACAGCGCTTGCTGCCTCCACAGACTACGTTGTAGTCTGTGTACTTAAGAAGTTATTAACAACTCATATCTATTTTGTAATATTTTCCTATATCTTTTCTTGGGACTGTCCAATTAAAAACACCATCATCATTATCCGACCCCTCAACCTGAATGTAGGGAATAAAGCACACAAAGTTTATGGGAAACTGCAGAAACTGGCATCCTCACAATAAACGCTTTGCTGTTATTCAGCTGCAGTGCATCGTCTCTACTGCACTGAAACTATTGTTGCCTCTTAATGATGTTGAAATATGAGCCTTCTCCTCCCATCTCTGCTCGTCTGTAAAACTGTCTTATTGAATGCCACTGATGTGCTTTGTACTAAATGTATTTTCCCATTTTTATGCAGTTCAGAGTATGTTACCAAAACTGAAGTTAAGACATCTGCAAATTTTGTGAGACCATGTGGAATTTATAATAATATGTAACTTTAAAATTATGCAAAGGTGATTTCTACATGATGGACAAGTCAGAATGTGCCTTTTTATTTTATTGAAGCTGTGCATAGCTGCATTCTTAAAACTGCCATCAGCAGTGATGGGAATAACGGCATTAAAAGTAACAGCGTTACTTTGTAACAAGTAATCTAACTAATTACTATTTCTATCGTTACAATGCTGTTACCGTTACTAACAAGAAAATGTGGTCGCGTTACTATTTTTCAACAGACGGTTGAAGCTGTGTTCAGCTTACAGCATCTTAAATCAGCTGTAAGTAATCCGGGTGCTGCAGCTTTAAGCAGCTGCGCACTCCCGTGGGCGGCATTCACTTTCTGCCCGACGATCACTTTTTGGCACAACACCTGAAGCTCAGGGGGCAAAACAGTCGCATGAGTGCTGCTGTTTGACTGAAGAAGAATAAAGTAGTCGTGCTAAGCCAATCACATGACCACTTTAAGATGACAAAGCAACAAGGTGATATATACCATTTTTTAATTTGTGTTGATAGGCCACGTAAAACCAGAGTCATGATAAACAATATATATGCCTGTTTTTCCTCAATAGTTTCGTCACGTTTACTGTCTAAGGACAGCGCAGCGAGACCTCTCTGCTTATCACCAAAAAATAAAAAAACAGCCCGTCTGTGTTGGTGGAAAAATGCAAAGAATGATATGGCAACATGACATTGGGTTGTTCAGGAAGACGGGGAAGTTTTAGGAGAGAGAGAGAGAGAGAGTTTTGAGATGTGGGAGATTTGTGACATTTAGCGTGTTTAGAGTGTGTAGTTAACAGTGTTGGGGAGTAACGGAATACATGTACCGCCGTTACGTATTTAGAATACAAAATATGAGTAACTGTATTCCGTTACAGTTACCGTTTAAAAAGGTGGTATTCAGAATACAGTTACTTTGTTGAAATAAATGGA